CTTGAACAAGGAGTGGGCAGTGGAGATGAGGGTTCGTCTCTCAAAAAACAAAGCAGGCGGAGACGAGATGCGGACCCCTGCCCTTCTGCACCCTGGGCAGGTGACCTCTCCAGCCACTGGGCTAGGCAGGCTGATTGTGGGGCACGCGTGGGCTGGTGGATGAGAACAGTTTACCAGATCCAAAGGGTAGAAAAGACTTGGGTTACTTTTTCTGGGCCTTGCAAAAAATTGAACAGCTTCAGATACAGAGCAGTCAACCCCATAATACCTCTATGGGTAGTTACATGCCTGGAATTGCAGAGGCTGTGGGTTTGACCAGCTGCCCCGGCTCTCCTGCAGGAGAAGAGATGGCCCATCTAGTCAGAGGGTCCCTCTCAGTAAGATGAGGACTAGGGAGGGTAGGGCAGGCCCATCTTTGCTCCAAAAAGTGATTTGAACTCAGGGCCTCACCCCCTGCAAGCAAATAGCAAACCCCAGGGCTGCCGAGGCTTTTGGTCAGCTGGAGCTGGTTGAACCTCAGCTCCTAGCTGCTTGGCCAGGGGCTGGGTGGGTGGGTTGTCCCCCCAAGCAAACTAACCATGCTTTGGCCACTGTGCAGTCAGGAAGGGAAGATCCAAGCGGCTGGGAAAAGCAGGGCTGCTGTTGAGTTGCCTTGGTATTGTGGTGGCTTGTGTGTTTGGCTGGGAAACGGGAGCTGTGTGCTCCCATCCCCACCTTGGCTGTCGGTGTCCCCTTTCAGTAAGGCCAGTTGGATGCCTTGCAGCCTCTGGGAGGGGGATAGCTCCTGCCTCTTGAAGTTTTGTTACTGTGAAGCTGCCCTGCAAGAGGCCAGGGAGAAAATCCCCCTCTGCGAGTGGGCGCAGTCACCAGGGACCCATGCTGGACCGCAGCCCCAGAGCTTTCACAGCCGAGATGCAACCCAAGCCGCCAAGTCACAGGTGGCTGTTTGAGGAGGAGCACTGTATAAGCTAAATGAGCCGGCAGCCCAGGTCAGTGCACTTCTCTGTGAGCTGGGAGAGCCAGGGTCAGTGCTACTTCCAGTCTGTTTGCTTGCGGAGTGGGTGCCCAACCACCGAGGCAAATGGGCTCTCAGGACTCCTGTCTCAAACCCTCCCCTCGAAGCTGCTGCACCGTGCAGGCACTAAAGAGCTGTTGGACTCCAGAGATGAGAGCCCACCTTTGTGCAGCAGTCTGGATGGGAGAGCACCCACCGATGACCTGGGAAGCCACACGTGCTTGTCTTCATGTGCCTGCAGGGTTCACCCCCACGTCCCCTCATCTTCCAGGAGAGCAGCCTGACCAACTGCTGTGCTGGAGCACGGGTGACTATTGCTCATTTTCTGCTGCTGTTGTTTCACTGGGGGGAAAACCCTGAGACGGAGGGAACCTGATTCTCTGCGTGAGTGGAGATACTGGTTCTGGCTCCTGCTCCAAAGAGCATTTCTGGACTTTGTGAGTGAATCGCACACTAACACTGAGCTGGGGATTTGACCCCTGCAGCCTATGTGCCCCACAAATGTGCCAGCCTTGTCGACTGAGGGCCTCCCTGCCACGGCACAGCTCGGAGACCACCTGTGGGATTGGAGTCTGCAGGAAATGTGATGACCACTGCTTTCCGTCCAGCACACCCGGTGCTTGGAGCCCTTTGCCTGGGCATCTTTGCAAGCAGTGTACAGTCCAAGCAGCGCTTAAGCTTAGGTGACTATTGGTCCACGGTGCCCAGAGCACAGTTAAACGTCGCCGTCCCTGTCAATGGCCTCAGCGCCAGCTTTCGGGCTGCAGCAGCAGGCGTGATTAGCAGCTGTCAATTCCAAGGCTGGTATGAGCCACTGAACGATTGATTAATTGAGTCTGCTGGCCTGGAGAATGGCACGGTAATTGCTCTGTAACGAGGCATAACAAGGTGCGAGCAGCTGTGCGCAGGCTGCGTCTGCACCAACCGGCCCTTAATGCGGTTTAAGCGGCGCTCCCCCTCAATACCGGTGGCAGACAGCAAATGACTTGTGCTGCTGGTTGTGCGGTGAGGGGGTGCCTGTGTCAGCCGAGGGCATTTTAAGTGACTTTGACTGTACTGCAAAGGGCTCACCCTCCCAAGCATCCACTGTCATGTGCTTCACAGCACCAGGGGCCACATTCACGCTGCCTGGCTGCCCCTCTCTGGGTACCGCTGAGTGGTAGGGGTGGGCACAAGACGTATGATATACCTTGGTCTTGGTGCCTTGCCAGAATCCAACAGCAGCATCTCCAGGGTCCCTGCCTCCTCCACCCCTTTCTTACCTCGGTCAGCTCATGGGGAAGTAGGGATCTGCCCTATGGCTTCTGGAGTGGCAAGGCTGAGCTGAGAGGTGCTGAAGGGATGGTCTGAGGAAAGGCCCTTAAGGATCAAAGCTGCACCCCACCATAATTTGACATTAAAGGAAAAGGATGGGCTCTGATAAGGAGGTGGATGGCTGCGGGGAAGGCCTGCCTATTTTGCCATGCACAGCCCTGCTCCTCATCGGGCTCAGCCTCCCCCAGCACCAACCATCTCCGTACCCCAAGTCTGGAGGCACCTGGGCTCCACGCGAGCCAGCGCCTCTCGGTCAGGCCGCATACGTGGGAGGCAGGGAGGCCTGGCCGTGGAAGGGTTAAAAGCTACTTGATTTCCTAAATTGCTTCTTATAAAACGAACAGCACGTCTGCCAGGCTTGTCTCCCCATGATTACAGCTAATTACGATCGAACGGACACCTCCTAGCCCCCGTCATGCTGCTTTAATTGTCCGTTATTCATCTGCGGGCTGTCCGGGGTGGCAAAGCACTTGGCAGCCCAGCGACCGAGGCCTCAGCTAATTGTGAGGCCTCGGGGATTAGGGCAGGTGATTACACACTTCATGGTGTAATTACATAAGCATCGCTTGGCTGCTGCCCCGGCTCTGAGCCGAAGGTCACGCGCTGCGTTACCTGAGATTAATTGGAGCTGCCACTGAAGTGCGAGGCGCTGGCGGAGCGGTGATACGATTAGCATTAACATTTCAACAGCGACGGATCGATCTGTGGCTCTCCTCCAGACACAGCGAGCTGCGCAATTAGTTTAGAGGAGAGCTAGGGGAGGAAGGAGGAGGAAAGGAGAGACAGGCAGAAAGGGGCTGCAGAGCCGGAGAACAGAGACAGACAGACAGCGTGGGGGAGGCAGCGACGGTCAGATGGGCACGGGCACGGAGGCTCATTAGGTGGGAATTTCAGTCGATGTGGTGTCATGGGTCTGTGTGCGTGTGCGTTGTAGCAGTGTTTGCACTGACTTGTACACAGAGCGGGGAGCAAGCCATGCAAGGAAGATCTGCGCAGAGGAGAGGGGGCCTTTTCCTTGGCAGCGTGTTGGAAATCTTGAGGGGGGGAGTTGCACAAAGATCCCAAACGATTATCATCAGCTGCATTGGAGTGATCTGGAGTGAGAGCTCATCCCCTGCTGTACTGGGTAGGGGTGGTTTGGGGGGCTGCCCAGGGCAAGAAAGCTCCTTCCCCCCCCCTTATGCACATGCACACACACCTCTCTCACGTGCTCCCCGCTCCCCCAAGCCCTTCCTGAAGCACTTTTTATAGGAAGATGTTGTAAAATGAAAATAAACGGCACAGCGCTTGGCGTCGCCTCTAGATGCTCCGGTGAAGGTAATAATGTTATAAGTGGCCATCAAAGGGAATTAAGAGACGTGCAGCCGGAAAGCTGAGATTTGCTTGCAGGCTCCCAGGGCCGATTTGACTAATGGAAGAGACCTTGGCTACTCTCTGCTTCCTGTCTCTTCTCTTCCCTCCTCTGCAGGCAGCGTGTACCTACCGGCTTCCCCAGCATTCACCCCCACCCTTTCTTGCCCCTTTCACCTCCCTTCCACCCCAGCTAGCATTAGCTGGAGTCAGGAGCAGAGGTGGTGCCCTTCCAGGTGTCAGACCCTTGCTACAGACCCACTGAGACCTCTCCCCACTGACCCCCAGCTCCGCCATCCCACTGCAGCGCTGACCTCCCTTGCTCTCTTGTCTCCAGGCAGGAGACAGCCCCGCCAGGGCCGTGGTCTGGCCTGGCTGCTATGGAATTGCCCAGGTCTGCATTGAGAAGCCGCCCTCTCGCCAGCCCTTCCGACTATGACATGGCTTTTCACTCTTCATGCAGGCAAGGTTTAAACCTGGGCTTGCTGAAGTGGAAAGGCAGGTCCTAGCTCAGCACTGGCCTGTGCCCCTCTTCCCCACCCTGGACTGCCAGGGGCCCAGTGCATGTTCCAGCTAAAGGGCCAGTCAGGAGCGGGTACTGGGGTGGGGAGCAGGGCTCTGGCTTGTCTACTGGGGACAGCTTTCTATCGGCACTGCGTCTTGTCCCCCTGTCTTTGCTGGCAAGACTTGTTAAAGACAAAGGACTAAATCCAACCAAGGCAGCTACAAAGGCAACAAGCCTCCAGGCTCCCCATGCATGAGCCGGGGCCCTGCTATAACAAGTGGTGAGATGGGGCTCTTTCAAGCTGCCCAGAGCCATGGCCCATCCCAGGAGTGGTGGAGTGTCTCCAGCAGGGGCTTGGGTCCTGCAAGGGTCACGGGCCAAGGGCATGCAGTTCTGGGTGGGGGGGTTGCGGGGTGGTCACGGTACGTCCCTCATGAGAGCCAGCCCAAGGGGACCCAGGAGGCTACCCCTACTTGGTCCCTGGCACAGCTAGCTTGGTCCTGCTCCTTGGCATTTCTGGCTGGTGGACCTCTACCAGAGCACCTGTACCCATGGAGGAGAGCCCAGGTGTGGCCTGAGCAGAGGCTCTTGGGTCTGGTCTGCTCCATTCAGTAATGTCCTTGGGGATCCACAGGCCACTGAGGGAAACCACAGCCTCCCCACAAGGTGCTCAGTCCTGCTCGGGCCCTGGCAGATGAGGGGGAGCAGTTATGGCAGGGGAGCGCCCTGCTGAGTGGGCAGCGCCTCCCGAGCCGGGCTCGCACTGCACTCAGCACCAGAGAAGCCTAACGGAGAACGTCTCTTCCTGTTCCCTAGGGAGATGTCTCACCCGCCGCCTCTGCTGTCCCCCCAGAACGCACCCCACATCGCGCTGGGGCCTCACTTGAGACCCCCCTTCCTGGGGGTGCCTTCGGCTCTGTGCCAGACACCAGGTGAGTGCCTGGGTGATGGTGTGCACAGCTGTGGGAAAAGGCTGGGGGGGTCTGGCCTCAGAGATGGACACCGTTCTAGTGGTTTTTACTCCTGCTTTCATTTGGTTTCCACTTCGCCAGGTTTTAGCATCACCCCAGCAAGGTGCCTTGGCAGGTTGTTCTGGCTGGCAGGGGCTCCCGGCCAGCCTCACTGGCCCTGTTCCCCCAGGGACGATGCAGGCCCTTGGGCGAGGACTCTTGCAGCTCAGCCTGGGGCACCTTCTGCCATTGGCCCTTCCCAGGTGGTGCATGGGAGCAGTGGGAGGCAGCTTACCCCATGTCTCCTCACTGCATAGGAGGAGATTCTCTGCTGCTGGGTCCCGGTAGGAAGCACGTACTGCACCTCCAGCACTGCTGGCCTAGTCAGAGGGGAGTGGGTAGGGTCAGGCCCCTGCTTCCTGCTGTGTGTCTTGCAGCCAGGTGTGCTCCAGGAGAGGAAGCCAGTCTGGGCAGTGGGGTCAAGTCGGCCCAGCCAGGCTGCTCCCTGAGTTTGTGTTCCCCAGAACAGAGACGTGGGCAATAATAACCCTGTGCAATTTCCCCAGGTTACGGGTTCCTGCAGCCAGCCCAAGCGGAGATGTTTGCACGGCAGCAGGAGATGCTGCGGAAGCAGAACCTCGCCAGGTAAGGAGCACGGTCCTCGCCAGCTTCCTGCCCCTCCTTCCCTTGTCCTTGTATTGGGCACTGTCCATATGTGGTAATCCCAGCACCTGGGTCTGTTAGCTGGGACAAAAGGCTTTGCAGCCCACTACCAGCTCCCCTGCTGCTAGGATCCAGGCTTGGCAGTGGCCTTTAAGGTATTGGGGCTTCCTCCCTTGTGCTGTGAAGAAGAAGTAGAGTAGTCTCTGACTGATACTACGGTCTCATTCCCCCCGCTCTCCCCTCCCCAACCCAGGCTGGAGATGTCGGCGGAGATCATACGACAGAAGGAGCTGGAGAACCTCCACCGGCAGCGGCTGCTGGCGGGTGACCCGTTGAGCCTGCACCCGGCCCTGCCTCCGGACCACCCGGCCCTGCGGAACATGCACGAGATCCCCGAGGGGCACCCGCTGCGGGAGGAGCTGTCGCGGCGCAATGCCATGCTGGTGCTGCGGCACAACAACACGCCCCTGCTGTCCCTCAACCACGGTGTGCCCAGCAGTGCCACCCCGCCCAAGGAGCACGCCCGCCGGGGCAGCCGCAAGTCGGCCCATCACCGGGCAGAGCCGCAGGGCCTAAGTGAGGCCAAGGAGCTGGCCGAGCCCCGGGTGCGGGATGGTGCCCCTGACTGTAACGACGAGGAGATGAAGGACTCGGAGAGTGACGCTGAGGTGAGCGATGAGAAGCCAGAGAGCCTGAAAGCCGAGAGCAGCAGCTCGGCCAGCGAACTCAAGGAATGCAAAGAGACAGGCAAGGTCTGCGAGGGGGCCAAGGAGCTCAGCGACGTGGCCGCCGGCCAGAATGCCCCTGGCAGCTCCTCCAGCGCTGAGTCGCCCAGCCACCTGCTCGGCCCCGGCATCAATAAAAATGAGGTGAAATACCTCCCACCCGCCTCCATTCCACCGCCCCAGCCGCTGCCCTTCGGATTCCCGTACACCATGAGCCCCTATTTCCATGCAGGTAGGTGAGAACATTGTAAGCACTGTCCAGGGCTTGAATGGGGAACGGAGGGCTTAGCAGAGTAAGGGGCATTGATTTTTCTGCTGTGTGTTAGGAACAGGGCATCACTTCTGCTCTGTTCTGTTCTTTGCTATTCCCCATCGTCATGGGTCATCCATCCCAGAGAGAGTTGAATATCTGGAGAGGAAAACCTCCAGTGCTATAACAGGCCTGACCTAAGAGTACATAAGTGTTCCATGGTGAGATGGCTACATACAGCCACAGATGGTCCCGGACCAGGTTTTCTCCTTGCAAAGATATTTGACTGCAGCTTCCTTATATGATACACGCTGGCCTAGAAAGCTGAGGATCTGTGCAGCAGACTGTAACTTCACGTGCAGACAACTTCTGCCCTTTAGGTACATGCGTGCATTGGGTGGGAGTTGTGTGGTCAGTAGTTGATGCTAAAACAAACTTATGGGTTGACCAGAGAGATCTCGGCAAAAGGTGCAATATGGTGGTAGGAAGGAAAAAAAGAAATCTATGCTATGCTGTAGGCAGAGGCGTAGTGTCCTCGCTGACCGGGAGAGAGTTGTTTGCCCTGAGCTGATTGGATCTTCTGTAGCAGCCTTGGTTCAAGACAGACATTGATAAATTGTAAGGGGCTCTGGGGAAGGGCAAGAAAGATGATTAAGGGCTTGGAGGGATTGACCTATGAAGGGAAAGGCTAGAAGAATTAAATATGTATCGCTTGGCTGAAAGACAGCTGGGCCTTGGGAGAGCTGGAAACCGGTAGCCTCCTGCTTACAGTTGATGGAGGGGTGAGAACTGCTGTGGGGATTGGCTTGGGGTGTTGGGAAGAAGTAGCCAAATACATCAGGATAGAGATGAGGAAGGAAAAGGGTTTTACACGGAGCAGATAGGCCATCCGTATGACTGGCATCACTCTGAATCGGGGACGGCCCGTTGTGGGAATGGAAGGAGCATGCTTTGCTGGCACTGGGGGCAGAGCAGGGTTTCAGCCCAGGGCTTCCCCAAGATCTTCCCCATCTCTCCAGCCTCTGGTTCTCCCTGGCTTCATGAGAAGGGAATGGAGAAGTACAGCTGCAGCCACCTCCTTCCCACTCCAGTTCTGGCTGGCAGGTGACCCTGCCAGAGCATGTGTCGACTAGTGCCAGGGGTCTGAGTTTCAGGAAGTCCCTTGAACTGTGACTTTCACATCTGCTAAAGCCTCCTGATCTCGAAAGTCATATGCTGTCACCCGCCCTTGCATTTCCATAGCAGCCCTCACCCCCCATCAGAAACATCTGATGTGTGTGAACTTTTCAGCTCCAGCCAGGGAGCTCAGACGAGTGGAGGCTGCTGATTGACTCCAGTGGCCAGTAGCAGAGCATGCCAGGGCCAAGCATGTGTGTGAAGGGGGTTTCCGATACCAGGTCATCCATCTCGTGCAGAGGTAGGGGAGGTGGCTGTCTGTCCTCTGTCAGGAATGAATCCATATCTCCTGGCCTGAGCTCCATGACCTGGGCTTCATGACCTGGCTGTGTCAATAGCCCCAGGTATGGCCCTGATTGCTGACCCAAGATCCAGCAGGAGGACCTCAGGAGGTCACATCTAGTCCAACCCCCTGCTCAGAGCAGGGCCAGCCCCAACTAGGTCATCCCAGGCAAGGCTTTGTCCAGCCGGGTCTTAAAAACTTCCAAGGATGGAGATTTCACCACCTCTCTGGGTAACCTGTTCCCAGGGCTGTCCCTGCAGGGGGGCAAATTGGGGCAACTGCTTTGCATCCGGCTGCTCCCTGCCACCCCTGCCGAATCTGCTGCTGGCTTCCTTGTGTCTGGGGGCAGGGCCTCGCACAGGCTGATTTGCCTTGGGCCCCGCACCCTGCTCGGGTCGTCTCTGCCTGTTCCAGTGCTTTACTACCATTCTCGTGAGAGTTTTTCCTAATATCTAACCTAAACTTCCCTTCCTGTAACTTGAGCCCATTGCTCCTTGTTCTGTCATCTGCCACCACCAAGAATGGTCCAGCTCCATCCTCTCTGGCAAATAGTTGAAGGTTGCTATTAAATCCCCCCTCAATCTTCTCTCTAGACTAACCTTGCAAAAACCAAGGTTGGAAGAGGCAGTGAGTGGCACTTCCCTGAGGGAGTAGGTAGGGAGGGGGCTGTTCGCTGTCTGAACAGCACTGCCTCCCTGGCACAGTGCGTGGAGAGGCACAAACCACCGATGAGCATAGCCAACATGAGCGGGCAGCGTGTCATTCAGAGCTGACGGTAGCCCAGGCACCCAGGAGGCTATTCTGGTAGCAGAGCCAGTGCTAGCTTAACCCCAAACCAAAGAGCGCTGTGCCCAGCAGCCCTTTACCTGAGAAGGTAGCTGACAGCCAGACACCAAGCCTTGTGGTTGGGGAGGTAGTTGGTCTGTAAGCCCCTACTGTGTGTCTTTACTTTGGGCGAAGGAGTCTGTGAGTGCATGCCCAGAGCCACCTTGTAGCCTGGAAGCAAGAAGCCATGCTTCTCCCACCTTCCCTCCAGCCACTGAAGAAGAGGAGCACCCAGTGCTGTGAATTGGCCTCTCCCGCTGCCTGCCCCGGGTCACAGATGGGAACCCTCCCCCTTCCACCCCGGTTACACACACAGTGCCATTCATGTGCCCTGTATGATTATGGCCTTGGATTGATAACATGGTAGTGCCCGTGGCCCCAGCTGTGATCAGAGCCACGTTTAATTGCCACTGGCATCCCCTGGGGCCTCATTTCTCAGCCCCAATCCCATAGCTGCATTTCACTGCAGGGCATCTTGTTCAGTCTGAGCCAGCTCTGCGTTTAACAGCGCTGCTGTCTGCATCACCCCTGTGCCTGGAGCGCCCAGCTGAGCCCTTCTGTGCCGGCTGCTGTAAAGACTCACAGTAGGCATTCGCAGACCACATCGAGGAGACGGGGAGGGGAAACTGAGCCCACACATTGGGCCCGTGGGAGAGCCGAGGAGGTAAAATCCACCTCTCCCAAGCACCAGCCTGGCATCCTGACCACGCTGCTTTGCATCCATGCAGAACCGTACGCTTCAGTGCAACTCGGGGCTGATCTGGCTGCCTCGAGTCTTCGTAGCACACGCCCTGCCGCGGCTCCCGTGGGAGCTTGTGCCTGAGTACAGCCAGGCGGAGAGAAGCTCACGTGTCTCTGCTCTTCTGTAGCTTGCGTGGGCCAGGGCAGGGCTGTCCCGCAGAGCTAACGACAGCCGCAGGCGGGCAAGCGCAGTGCCAGACCTACGCGGGGTTGTTGGGGGGTGGGGGAAGGAAACAGGACCACGCTGGCTACGAATGATTGACTGACTGTGATTGACTGACCGCAGTGCCTTGGCCAGCCCCGCCGGGTTTCCAGAAAGGGGAGGGCCCCGCTCCTTCGTCGCAGGCAGAGCTGTTTTCTATCCCCGACGACAAAAATATCGACGAGGCTGCCAGAGCGTGGTCGATTCCCTGAGTTGCCTTATGGGAATCTGGAGGCTGCTCGATGACCTCATCTCCTCAAGGTTTCAGCAGCATCGCGGCTGCCCCCCCCCCCGTCCTCTGGAAAAGGTGAAGGATGGAGTGTGCAGCAGGCTAAAATCCTGCTATCGATCGCAGGCTGGAGAGCAATTAGTGCGCGCCTTCCAGCACCGCGGTCCCGGCCCTTTGCGCCTGTGTGGGGCAGGATGGGTGGTGGGTGGGAGTGATCACGAGGCTGATTAGCCCTATTTGCCTACTGGCGTTGGGGCCTGCTCTGAGCCATCGGTGCTTCTGGCCAGCTCAGCTGTCTGGACAGAAAAGCAAGGCCAGGTTGGACATCTGGAGGTCGTGTGGGGTGAGGAGGTCCTGGGTCTGTTCTGTATCCCAGTGCCAACACAGCCCATGTGCGGTAATGCCACCATGCCCAAAGCACTGCGCACCAGGAAGGGGCAGAGACCGAGAGGGCATCTATGTAACCCCGTCAGTGGGAGTAAAGCAGGGTAACTCCATTGCAATTAGTCCTTCCACTGCCCCAGCAATGTACCTCGCACAAGGTGGGGGAAGAGGCTGGTTGAATCCCAGTAGCGGATGCCAGTGGTGACGGCTTTACGCAGACAGCTGTCTGCCAGCTGCTGGCCTGGGACGGTGATTTTTCACTCCCTGCCAGGCTGGGCCCCAGCTGGTGAAATGCTCCTCAATCCATTATCAGAGCCTTGCCCCTCCATTCATCATTGCCTGCGACAAGAGGAGCCTGGCTGGCTTTTCATCCTCGTGGTCCAGCAGGAGCCAGCAACGTGTGGGTCACCAGCCGGGAGGGGGCTTCCCTTCTGCACCCCTGGCATCCTGACTGCCACAGGGGTGGGCTTGTACAGCCAGGCACCGCGATGGAGCAGGCTGGGGAGTGCGCGGGTGTGTGTTGGTAGTGAGGGGGGGGGTTGTTCATTGTGCTGTAGACATTTATAATTAGCCAGGGCTAATGGCTGGAGGGTGGACAGCAGGGACTGGCTGTGGCATGCTTGGGAGACAGGCAGAAGGGACCGTTCACGATCATCTCTTCTGCCTTTCTACATAACGAGTTTTACTCAGCCAGTCTTTCGCAGAGCCTAGTTCCTGACTGATCTAGACCGGGGGAGAGCAGAGCGGATGGCTTCTAGGTCCTGCAGTTCAGAGACGCTGGCCCGCACAACTCTACGGGGCTGCTCAGAGCCGCTGACATCCGGCCCTCATTCAACTCCCATGGGCTTTGCCAAGGACTTTAGTGGGGCAGTGGTCTGTCCCCCACCCCCTCTGCTTAGATGCTCTAAAACAGAATTTCTCAACCCGTGGGTCACGACCCAAAGTGTGTCTCAAGGATCTATGAAAGGGTCCTGAACAAACTTTAAAAATGCATTCTCCTTTAAAGGAGAAAAATGGGGGAAACTGTGGCTTTTCTGTTGCAGGCTGGCAGAGCTCCAGCCTGCAAGGGGCTGCTTGGGGGCCCCCCTGCCGTGCACACTGCGGGGCTGGGGCCTGGGAGTGAGGGGCACTGGGTTTGGACTGGCCACTGATGTTTGCAAATGGGTCCTGGTACAAAAAAGGTTGAAAACCAGTGATCTAATCCTTGGGAAGGTGTCTGAACCCGGCATGCCGGGACTGACTTTTTCTTCCTGTAATGTTTCAATCCATTGGTGTCCATGTTTCCCTGGGTGGGTGGGGAGGGACGGCAAACTCCTGGAGATAGATATTTTGGCGATATTATATTTTTCTCTGTGTGTGTGTGTGGGGATATGTGGAAAATATTTCTAGTTCCCATAGAGCATGGCCTGTCTTGCCCAGATGCTTGGAGACAACAGGCTCACTGTGTGGGTGGCTGCATGCATCTTTCGCCCTGCTTTACGGAGGAGTGGAAAAAAAAAATAGGCAGGGAATAGATGAAGGAAAAATAGGCTGGTTTTCCTCCCGGACCGGGGCTTCTCTATGTGCTGCTTACAGGGGAACTGACAGGCAAAGTGCATTGACTTCCAGCTCTTCCCCAGAAGCACATGCATCCCTGCAGCAGGCAGGAGAGGAGGAGGGGTTCCCCATGCATTTGCTTGGCCCCTTGAGCACCCTTTTACCTGCACCATCCCCACCCCACATCCTTGCAGGTGTGGGTGCCAGGCAGGTACCAACCAGCAGCTTGATGCAGATGCAGGCAGTGCCAGAGGTTGGGGCTGGCTGTCCTCTGGCACTGCCTGCACCTCCATGGATCCAGGCTCTGCGCCCGAGCGCTGCATGGCTGCAGGCTTTGGCTTGCTTTCGGAATAAGGAAGTACCTAATTTTAAAGCCGTTGGCTGTTACAGGGCCGATCCCCTCAGAGACGCTCGCTCTGGCTGCAGATGGAGGCGTCTCACCCGCGCGCCGACTGTGCCTGGAATAATTGAGTTTGGTTTCACTTCCTCTATTTACCAAGCCGCAGCCGTGCTTCTAAACAGGCCGGGGAGGAAGGGTGCGGGGGGGAAATCAGCCACCCCAGCGTTTCGCCCGCTGCAGTGTAAACAGCTGGGAGTTTGGTTTCGCGGGCAGGGAACGAAAGCCATCATGTAAGCAAAGGGGCGAGACTGTCTGTCTGTGCCTGTCTGCAAGCTGGGAGGGATGGGCAAAGGCATCTCCTGATGTCCCAGCCTTCTTCTGACCCCCCAGCCCTAGTGGGAAGCTACTTCTCTGCAGTCGTATTAAGGGGAATAAAATTGCAGGGAAGCTCAGATGCTTGCAAGCTGGGTAGGGGAGTGCAGAAAGGAGTGCCGAAGCCTCAAGAAGGGGTGGGAAGAGCTTGGCATGAGGGTTCAACACCTGGCTTCTCTGGGGCATCCACTGGGACAGTCAGGACTTGAGCCTGACCTTCTGCAGGGGCAGGAGCACGTCCTGAGCTCCCTGCCAGCTGGCTGATGCTGCAGCCGAGACGGCTGCCCCCCAGCAAGGCGGGTTAGCATTGCAGGAACAGGGGGCAGGGGGCTGGGGGTGGCAGTTGGGAAGTCAGGAAGGAAGCATAGCAGGAAGGATGCCATAGCACCTGCCTCCTAGTTCAGACGGTTGCTGCTGCAAGAGTACCCTGTTGGTATGCTCGCTTCCTGCGCACGTCCTTCCCCTTCCTATAATGCTGGGCTGTCCACGTCACCAGCCTGCAGTTTATCCTGGTGGCCTGTGCCCTTCCGGCTACCCTCGCCAGCCTGCGGGGATGAAGCTGCTGTCACTGCCGAAGCTTGGCCGGTCCTGACCTCCTGGGCCACACGTTCGTAGCCTTCCCCTCTTATGTGGCTGCACCTGCTGCCAAGGGCATCATGCTGCCTGCTGTCCAGCCCGACAGGCCAAGGAGGGTAGGGGCTGCCGCGGGGGTCAGCACAGCCTCGTGTCCTCTCTGGCAGCGGCCAGCAGCAGCCGTTTCAGAGCCTTCATAACAGATAATTAAGCAGCAATGTGCCTCTGGGGGATGCTCTTTCCAGTTAATGGTTGGTTCATGCCCTGAAGCACAAGAGTTTATGTCCCTTATAAATTTTTACCCTACCCATTGCAGCCACGGATGGTCTGATGAGGCCCATAAAGGCCCAGTCCCTTGGAAGCCTCTCGAGGCTATGGCCGCATTGGTGTGAAGCGCTGGCGAAGTCTGCAAGTTAGCAAGGCCTGTGCAAAGCAGCAGTTGCTATCCTGGGGGATAACACCCGCACAGGTACACCGCAGGAGGCCTGCGCGTTAATCACAGAGCAGGGCTGGCCTGGCCAGCGTTCTTCCTAGCTATTCTCACCTCCCCCAGCATGAGTCCAGTTCCCCCCTGTGTGCTATTTCTTGCCATCCAGCAGCGGAGGGGCAGGGAAGCCACCGCTGTCCCTTTGCAGGACGGGAGCCAGCAGAGCCGGGAGCCTGAGCTGGTGCAGCATCTTTTCAGCTCAGCGCAGCAGCACGAACCACCTTCTCCCAGTGCCACCATGGCTCTTTTTGCAGGGGGGTAATCTTCAGCAATGCCTGATCCTACAGAGGACTGGGGCAGCAGCAGGAGTTGTGTATGGACATGCTGGGAAGAGAGGTCAAGAGGGGGCCTTTGTGGCCAAGACAGCTTTAAAAACCAAGCGGCTGTTCGGCAGGAGCAGGACTTCTCCCCGTGCTCAGAGCTCCAGCCAAGCCGCGGGTGGCAGGGGGGGCTGCCGGGCTCCTTAGCAGGCGTAGCACGTCGCTGGGAGAAGGGCCGGGGGAGAGAAACTTGCAGGGCAGCCAGAGTTTTTCCGTTTTGCGGCGTGTGTGGAGAAACGCTCCTTCAGGGGAGATATTCCCCCCCACCCCATTTCCCCCTCTCTCCCAAACCTTCCCCTTTCCTGTGTTTGCTGCAGCTGAAGAACATTAAACACATGAAACACATTAGCTGGGATTTTTTTTCCCTCCCCCTCAAAAAAGAAAACCAAAAAAAAACCCACCCCAAAACCCCCTCTCCTCCTGAGTGAGGGACCTCCAGGAGACAGAGGCCTGCGCACTGACCCTGCCCAGCGCCATAATTGACAGGTCATTAAAGATGGATGTGCGGCCAGAGACGGCTCTGCCGCTCGCAGGCTGGTGGTTGTCCGCGTGGGGTTTTTTAATGATTTATGTTTCCTTCTCCTCCCCCACCCCTCCCTCCCTGCTGCCCGAAACCTTCCAGGCACCATGGGAGGTCTGTTTTTGGACGGCGAGGAGAGCCCTGCGCTGGAAGACATCAGCAAATGGACGGTGGAGGATGTTTGCAGCTTTGTGGGCAGCTTGTCTGGCTGTGCTGAGTACACTCAGGTAAGGCCCACGCCGCCAAGGACGCACACGGCCAGGGGAGCTGGGGGGGCGCTTATTCGGTGCCCCCCGCCATCAACCCCCACTTGACAGAAGTAGGGTTTCAGAGCCTCGCAGGCACTGCGGCTGCTGGTTTTCCTCCCAGACGGGGCTTTCCCATGTGCTGCCTATAGACATCCCCGGGCATGGAGGGATGGGGGTAGGGAGAGCAATGGGGAGGGGGGGCAGGCGTGTCTGGGGAGCTCTCCTGTCTGGCCGTGCTCCGACACGCCTCTTGGCCTGCCGCGTACGTGTGTGTGTGAGCGTGAGTGAGTGAGAAAGCCCGTCGTGTCCTGCGGCCGAGGGGGACACAATGCCGGCTTTGTGCAGGGCTGCCCGAGGGAGCCAAGCCTGTGGCCTGCTGTAATGAGGGCCTGTGCGCAGTTCTCCGGCGCCGCTGAGAAGGGCTTTTTATCCAAGCGCAGAGGGCTGGGAGCCCTGGGGCTGTGGCCAGGACACAGCAGTGGGCTGGCCTGGAAGACGGTGGCACATTAACGACCCTGCCCTGCATCTCCCCGACATGGAGGGCGATGCCAGGCAAAAGGTCACGGCAGCGGGGCATGCTCCCTGCTGTCTGCCAAGAGCGAGGCACAGACAAAACACGTGTGATGGGCTCAGCTCCCCGGAGCTGGCTTGACTCTAGGGAGGGCTCCCAAGCCGGGGGGGCAGGGAGGAGGCGCAGGGGCAGGGGCAGGGGAGGGAGCTCGCTGCACTCCATCAATCTCCGCCGCACGCTCCCCCCCCTTCCCTAAATCCCTTTGCAGCGGGAGCGACGCATCCATCACTGCTGCGGGGCTCATAAAGCAGCTCAGTGTGAGGCCGCGAAGTGGGACACAAAACCCAGCTCTGTCTCCGGCTCCGCCGGCTGCCCAGGGCCGTGATAAATGCCCCATTGAGCGCGCGCACCAACGGCGAACGTGGATTCCAGAGCTGTCTGGGACAGGCTTGCAAAGAGAGGCCAGTGTGTTGGAGCCGGTCTGGCACGAGGGGAGAGCAGGCTGCTCCAGAGAGTCCACCCTCCCAGGGGCCTGCTCCCCACAGACAGGGAGCAAGGGGGTGCAAAAGGAGCAGAACAACTGGGAACAAGGGAAATCAGTGCAGCAGCCAGAGAGCGCTCAGCCCTGCAAGCTGGATATGGCAGGTCTGGGGAAACCCAGCTCCAAACCACTGACTTCCCGCTGCCTCCTCCCCAGCTCCCGTCAGCATCATGTCCCCCTGCAAAAGCAACCCAGCCTCTCACTGGTCAGGCCAACCCTCGCCCCCAACCTGCCGCTTGAAGCGTGAAACTGCCCCAGCAAGTGACCCTTCCTGAACCACAGGCCACCCCAGTCAGCGGGGGCAAGCCAAGGCCTAGCCTGATTGTTGCTCCTGGGTTCACGTTTCTGGCCCGGAGCAGGCGGCTCCTTTCAGTCCGTGCTGATTGCAATAGCGGGGGCCTGATGAAAGCGGCACGTTTTTCACAGAGCAAAATCTCCTTAACGATGGTCCCCGAGGGGCCCAGGGAGGCTGGGAGCTGGGCTTTGTTGCTCATTATGGTGGCCCGGAGCCACCACCTCCCCACCAGCTCCCTGGGGCGGCTGGCTGATGTGCTTTCAATGCAAAGCCTGTCCTTCCTTGCCCCCTAACTGTGGTGCTAATCCCATCATGACACGCTTCATTAAAACCACCTGTAAGGCTGGTGCTTCCTCAGCATGAACAGCTGTGTGTGTGTGTGCGCGTGCGAGAGAGGGAGGATGCCGGAGTGAGTGTGCCTGACGGAGATGGGGTGTTGGTGAGTGACAGCCAGTGTGCGAGGGGGTGAGAGGACAAGCTGGGGGGGAGGGAGTCAGGGGGAATGGGTGTGTAAGAGGGGGCCCAAGGAGGGCTGGTTGGTATGGGAGTAGGGCTAGAGGAGTAGCGGGTGGTGTGGGGTGAGCATTATCTCTGGGGGGACAGGAGAGGGGTGGTTTGAAGAGCTAGGTAACCAGAGCTAGGCACCTGTTGCTCTGTCCCCCCCAGCCCTGTCTGCCCTACTGCCATTGGCAGCACCGTGGCTGCTCTAGATTTGCACCCAGGGACCTCAGAGCAGACATCTGGTCAGGAGCTCAGTGGCACTGAGGGTAGCAAACCCCTGAACACGGACACCTTGCACAAGGATTGCCCCTTTCAATCTCCACCCCCATCCCAGCACATTCCCCATCCAGTGCCCCTGCAGCAGATGGGAAATCAATAGCTGATGGGAGACATGGGATGTGCTTAGGAGCTCTGCAGACAAAGTGCCCTCATGTCACAGGACCTGCCTGGCAGGCTGGAGGAGCACCAGCTCAAGTGGGTTCAGAGGAGAAGGCTTTCCTGTGCTGCCTTGTTTTGTGCTCAGCAGGCTTTGCTGCGTGGAGGCTCTGGAGCCCTGCTGCAGCTCGGAGCTGCAGCGCTGTCTGTGCTCGCTCGCCTCCAAAACCACAGCTGCCAGGGAGGTCTGGCATCAGCCTGCGGAGAGCCCCCGCCAGGAAAGCCAGCGGGAGCTTGGCGGAGCGCTGCGCACAAAGCAACACGCCTCAGCCCGGCGTGGGGAACGCCCTGGCAGACAGGCAGCTGCCCCACTCCAGCCTCCGACAATGCGCGGCTTTGTCCCCACGGCGAGCAGCGGCCCCTGCATGGGCCCTGGGGGCTCCTAACGTGCTCAGGGTAGGGCTTTGTGGGAGGGTCGCAGAGCACGGGGAGCCGCTTGGATCCGGGCCACGTTGGCTGTGGAGGAAGGAAAGAAATGGGTCTATTAAGTTTCATGAGGTCAGAGAGCAGAAACACGTGCTGCTGCCAGGAGCGGCTGCGCTGGCGGAGTCCTGCTATAAAAAGCAAGCTTGCAACGGTTCAGCTGCTCGGCTCCAGAAGTTGCAGCCGCTTTCCAGGGGACAGGTCTGGGGTGCAAGGTGTGTGTGTGTGTGGCGGGGGGGAACAGTCATGCAAACCCCTGGCAAGCCCTGCTGTGCTGCACCAGCACAAGGGAGTAAATGGAATGGAGACGGGGGCAGGTGTCAGCTTAGTCCCCCCCAGCCAGGTCATCCTAGATGCCAGTGGCTCTCCCTGCACCATGAGAACTGCTGTGGAGCTGAAGGCAGAGCTCTCTTGGGTGGGAAAGGCCCCATGGCTGCTGGAAGGCAGGTCCCCTGGCTGACGGGGTCGTCTGCCTGGGCACAAGGGACAGCAATGACTGCTCAGGGATCTTGTACGCACCCCGAGTGAAGCTGCAAGCATCCATCCAGCATTAAGGACGTAAGCCCTGGCAGGCAGACTAGACGAATTACACCCCCGCCTCACCCATGGGAAGCAGGAGAGCTGGGAGGATGGAGTGGGTGGTTGGGCTAGGAACACAGCCTCAATGCCCTTCTCACACTTCCCTACGCAGCACGGCCAAAGGGAAGCTGTGGTGTGGTCCCTTCGCGCAGCAGGAGACAAACACGAGCCAGGTCTTTTCTCTTGGGAGAGGGTCTAGTCCTCTGTGGGCTCTGGACTGGGCTGGTGTCAGACAGCACTGAGTACATGTTCACAGACTAAGTACATGTCACTTCTGTGCACGTTCCAGTTCTGTACGTGACAACGGCCCTTCAGTGGCTTGACGCGGGGTGGCCAGTGTGCGCAGAGGCCACATCACAGAAATGGCTACTGTTAGTTGGCCATTGGCTGGCATGTGGATCCGATTAATTTTTGCATCGTTACCGCTACCCTGCTTTGGTGAAGCGCGCGCTCAGTGCAGAGAACTCCACCCAGCGCAGCACCAGGGGCCACTGCTATTTTAATTTCATTTCATTTAAAATGCCTGTTAACTCCGACCTAAAAGCAGGGCAGAGGACAAATGCCATCACAGCAGGGCTGAGTCAGTCCAGCACACACACCACTCAGCCTGCCCTGTCTGTCTGTCTGGGATTTTAGCTCTGTTCAGTGTCTGGTTTGGGTTTAAACAATCAGCCCTTAACAGAGGGGTTTCCGGACACCCGATGTGCGGACTGCAGAGGGAAATGCAGGCATTAAGGGCACTGCAGAGGGTCTGGGCTGGGGCCATGAGGGATGTGCTTGCTAGCAGGTTTCCTTTGATAATGGTGTGCAGGCGGCAGCGACAGTGCAGAGCTCCTAGATATGCCCGTCAGGGAGCGATACATTCTGCCTCACGAGGTCAATAGATGGGATCATGGAAAATCAATGCTGTTATGGTACATGTCCCCGCCAACCCATGCCACGCACAGACTGCTCTGCTGCCTGGATTGCATGTACACGGGGGCTTGCACATATAAATATTTCCCCTGATGCAGTTGCAGTGTATCAGGCAGCCCATTGCTCCTCTTCTCCGCTGGGAGCACCCTGGAAAGACTTGACTAGGGCAGCAATAGGCAGTGTCTGCACGTGGGAATATTTGAAGTCCCCTTCTGCCCAGCCACCACACCACAGCAGCACCCGTGAGCATGGTTTTGTGGTTTCCTGCAGGTATTCCGAGAACAGGCCATCGATGGCGAGACGCTGCCTCTCCTGACCGAAGAGCACTTACTGAACAACATGGGGCTCAAACTGGGCCCAGCACTGAAGATCAGGTCACAGGTAAGGCAGCCTCTTAACCAGCGGCAGCTGCTGTGCTCTGGGCACACACAACCCAGGGAGAGGTCAGAAGCAGGGGGTATGGGCTGAATACATCACGGGGAAGGCACCACCAAGACTGGCCCACACATTCCTCCCCCACCCCGAGGCCTGCAGGCACCGATGCTGTTACGTGGCTGACCAAAGGGGTGCAGAATCGGGCCCTGCTGTAGCAAAGCCATCTCCCCCTGCCATGGTATTGCTCAGCACGCCTCTCTCCTTTCCCCTCCCAGTTCCCCTGCCTCCGGCAGCCCCTTGCTTGCCTTCACATCGAATGCAAATGGCAGTGGTGAAGGAAAAGCCAGATTTACAATCACTGCTAGCTCTTCCCTGGAATTAAGAGCCGCTCATCACCATTTTGGTCAATAGGTCTTAATTGTTCAACAACTAGGTAAACTGTCTAGTTAAAAAAAAAAAGAAAAACGTATAGTAATGAAGAGAGAACTGTGCAGGAATTAGTTGGCTGAAGGGAAGCAAAATGGGGTTTCCCAAATCACCTACTGCTGCCAGAGATGGGAACTTTAAGAGGGAAAGAAACAGTTTTAACAGTAAAGTGCAACGCACATGGGTGGGTATTATAAAGATGGGTATTATAAAGGCTACAACCTGGATACCTTATAAAGACATGTGCACCCATTGCCATACGTGTAATTTTATATGTATATGCTTTATATTTATACACACACACACACACATGCACACACACACACACACACACATATATGTAATTTTTGCACCTATATGTGTGTGTGCGTGCAAAAAAATTGTCCATTAAAACCACATACTGTTATATGGCACACGTGTGCATATACAGTGTATACACAGATTGTACATGGGGGTGTACTAGCATGTCATCAGTTATGATCTAGCAACACACACACACGCACGCACACATTGTACATTCGTACCTATTGGCCTGGCTCCGCTTCCCTCACCCACAAGCTATACATTTGTTATATTATGTTAAAACAATAAGGGCAACTTTATTACTTTCCCTGCAGCCCTCACTGTTTACGAGGGGTCTAATAAAAAGGTTCTGTGGGCAATTGTTCCCTGTGGATCAATTCGGGAGGAAATAAAACTCTTATGTTTCTTAAAAACAGAGAGCGCCAAATAGCTCGCAGACACACATGGATTAGAGCGGAGGTGGGGGGAGGCCAAGGTACGAGATAGGGGCTGAAAAAAAGAAGTTGTCCTGCCTCCATTTAAGCAATAGCGTTAAAGGGTTTTTAATAAGGAAGGCAGCCAGGGCCCCCAGTTTGCTAACAGAATAATACCCTGGCTGTTTGGATTAGACACAAGCCTGTGTTTTTATTTGAGCTCAAATGCAAACCAGCTGTGGAGGTGCTGGAAAGTCATGAGGCCTTTGGCCCTGGCTGGGAGGTGAGAACCGTTGCAGAGGTTGCTGTTGCTCTTTTGGAGGGGTTGCGGGGGGTGAAGGGGAGCGCGCGGGGGAAATGATGCAGGCTCACAGCTTCCTGCACAGTTGACAGCAGCCACCCTGTCGCTCTCCTCTTGGCCTCTGGCACTGCATCCACTTGGGCACCCAGTGCAGGGCAGTCCCTAGCATCTTGTTTCCAAACTATATGGCTGAGAAGCCAGAGGAGAGGTCCTAGGAACTGGCTTTTGACACATTTGCTATGGAGAAAAAGGGTGGATAACATTGCAGTGGAGGGGCAAGGAGGGCAGAGCTGCTCCT